TGAGAATGCGCATTTGGAAAAATGGTATGAAGCATCTGTAGACAGGTGTCAAAAATCACTGGGAAATAATCGGGAAGTAAATTAATGGCAGTTGCCCAAATGTCAACTCCTGTGAACTTCTCAGCCGAAAGTGTAACTGTGTCTCTGGTTTTTTGACTGTATTACTCCAACTGTCAGTTACCTTCAAAAATGTTTTAGAAATAGGGTTTCAAATCTTTTCCCAGCATACAGTAGCTTGTGGGCAAAACTGAATGATTTATTACAGGCATTTTACCAGAAAACTCGTGCTGAGGTACTTCTTCAGCAGTGTCTTAAGATATGGTTTCCATGAGTGCTCATTATGAGGTGAAGTCATTAAAAACCTGCCATTGCCTTCTGATAAATCGAGTTATAGAAGCAATTTCTTAAAACCAATTTTTCAAAGCGTAAGTCAAATCTGAGTCAAATACTTAAAGATCGAGGTTTGAATGGAGTTTTATAAATGTCTTCGAAGTGCTAAGAAAATAAAGGAATGTTGTCAAGTATTCTCATGAATGGTAAACACCCATGTGTGTTGTAAACGGCCCCAGCTCCCCACAGCCGAGTAGGAGAAGCCGGCGAGGCGGCCTGTGCTCTGAAGGAAGAATGACACGTATTTTCAGAACTCAGCGAAATTGGCTCTCAGTCTTCTGTTTCGATCCATCCGCATGAGAATGTTTACTTATTCACATCCTGATGCTCGGAGAACAGCACTTTTAAATACATGCGGCAGAGAAAATGCATTGTTCTTTTTTCAGACTATTTAAGTTCAGTGCCCAGATGGTATCCATACAGGCTTGAACAACAAAAATTCTTGTTACGGTGCTTACATGGGATATGGAGGACCAGAACTTCTGTAGGATTTCTTGCTCCATCTGGGATTGTCCCAGGGTTCACGTCAAGTCAAATAATTCCTACATCTGTCACAGGAAGTTCAGTGACAGGATGGTTTAGGACTGCTCTGTACACGCAAAAATGTTCTTGTAAGGTAACTGGGCAAACGCATTCTTGATCAATCTCTTTCAAACCTGCTGGCAGTTTGGTTCAGAGTAGATCAGAGGAACAAACTGATCGGTTTGTTGGTTTCGGAAGGGAGACGAGTGCAGTGTATCAGCATCGTGGGGCATTGCTCAACCCACTAGTGGAAATTTGGATGCAGCACATAAAATTACAGCCTATTTGTGGATTGAGGGTGTCCATGTGATTAAATAGTAAGTCAGACACAGTGAACTTTGAGATCTGAACCCTACAGTGAGGAAAAAACAACACACAGTTCCCACATTGGTTTGGCCCGTTCAAACGAGCTCTGCTATGAACAATCTTTACCCCGGAATTTTTTCACTGCTGTGTCTGAGGAGAAAAAAAACAGCTTTCCTAGCACAAAGCAGTTGGTGTAAAATCTAGCGTATAGCTATTTTACATAGAATTAAACTAAAAAAATGATTGTGAATGATATAATGGGCTGCTGTAGGTTGCGAAGCCAGACTTGAACGTAATCCTATCGTCCGTATGATGCAGTGTAACGACCTTCTCCCCAGTGCCCCCTGCCCTCTGCCCCCTGACAGCCGTCTGGGGGCTGGGAGACCCGTGGGCAGCCAGCGGCAGCGCTGGCTGCAGTGCCGTGCAGACCCCAGCTGGCTCTCCAAATAAAACTTTGCTGACTGGGCTGACATACCATAGCTGTCCAGTCACTTGGGACTCACCTCGTTACACAGTCTCTGTTGATGACTTCTTTCTCATCCCCACTGGTGGTGTTTAGTTTTGAGTCATTAAGTGGTTCGGTACTTATCGTACCACTTAAATCAGGAATTATAACCACTGTGATAAACCCAGAACAGTGAGACTGGGGGGTTTAGGTGCTTTCTGTGGTATCTGATCCCAGCAGAGATGTGTTAGCCTTTGACCGGGTCAGCTAAAGTCATTGCTCAAGTCAACCCATCAGAAAAGCAGGAAAGCTGTGCCTGTGATTTTTCATAATGTTTGTCCATTTTTGTGTTCGTTTGGCACTGTGTTTTGCTGCTGCTGTTTGCACTCCTCTCTGCATGGATCAGTGTACCCACCATCTGACACTCTCCCGTTCTTATATTCCTAAATTTCCCATACAAAAAAGATGAGAGGAAGAAATGGTGGGAAGAAAACACGCTAAATACCCAACTTTCATGTGAGCCACTTTTAAACGTTTCTGCTCAGTTACCGTCGTTTCACTGACTGCCCCATCAGAGTAAGTTTTGGGAAGTGAACTGGACAGCAATGGTCTGGCAGCGCTTTTACCACCATTTCAAAATTATATCTCGATGAAACATGTTGGCAGCTGTGTGTACATGACCTCTGTTTTTCCTTCAGCAAAAAAAGCTGGTGGCAGCCCGAACCATTGTTCTTTTTATTTAAAACAAGTCTTTCAACTGGGAGCCAAAAAAAATGCTTTTCAGTAAAGCTTTGACAAATCATAGAAGTAGTCCAGCAGCTTACAAGAATTTTCCATTGCCCAGCTATTCAGAGAGTAGAATAGAATTTTTTTGTATGTTTTGGGTAATCCACAGCTCCCAAACATTGCACCTTGTCCTGTCCTATCATTAATAATTCATTTTTTTCATTTTTATTGATGCTTTCAGACATTTATAACCGTGGATCCTTCTGATTATTCCTTTTTTGACAACATACGTACATCTCCAATCTCTGTTCGTAGGGTATATAATTTCTCAGTCTTTATTATTTCTGCTGTCCATCATTCTTTAAAAAGTTTTCTGAATAACTTGAAATGTGGTACATGCTGTACACACTATTTTTGGCATGATAACATCAGGAATATGTATTTTCCTTCCAAAACTTCACCAGTTTAATCAAGTTTCCACTATTTAATGCAGTTGAAGTATCGAGAACCACCAGCGTGGCTCTGGCTGTACTCTGGCAGCAATGGGCTCTTGTTTGAATTGGGGACTCTCAGATGAGGAACCTTTGCTGATTTTGGCTGGCAGAGAGAAGGGTGACCTTTCACGTAAGTATGTGTTTAAAGAAATGGCACTTTGATCCATACTGTCTCAGCACATTTGTGGCATAATATGCTGTGAGCAGGAAATGGCAGTAAACAAGCAGGCTGTTCAGATACAGGTACTTTGCAGTTTTCAGTGCTTTTCATGGGGAGTTTATTATATGGCGTTACACAAAAGCCAGGCTCAAACTAACTCTGTTATTTCGTTAGCCAAAGTTAGTAGCTTGGCCAGATCTTCAAATGCTTTAGAAAAAAAATCTTACAAATTTTTTGATAATTTCATTCATTCTGCATCATGACACAGATCTGTATCATGAGAGGGATCTTCAGGCCTGGACTGGATTCGGACAAAACATTTCTTTGAAGAACTGGTGCACACTGTCTTCTATGTTTAAATCTCACAGTAGCAAAAGAATCTGGCTAACTGGCTAATATCCCATTATTTTTTTTCTCTTGCCCATTTTGTTGTTTTTTTGCTTCTGCAGATCTTTCCCGGCTTAAAATTTAGCTTCGTTTCCAGGCATTCCTCAATTTCTTCATTAGTTCTTTTAAAACTCCCAGATGCATCTACCCTTAATTGAGGATGCATATATATTTAGTTTTTCAGATGTCCTTCCATCATCTTTTTATTCGGTCCTCGTTCCTCCAGCTGAGTCTAGTAATTTTCCTGAATTTTCCTGTAAAAGGTTCTTTGATTTCCTCATTTTCATTACTCATTTTATTGCAAACCAAGCCAAACTGGTATTTAAAATCTTGTTATTTCATGTAAGTGTGATGCAGTGTATTTTGTCTTAATGGAAATACAGCTTCCGAAAACAATTTACATTTTTGCTGTGGTCTTGAATATCAATGAGACTTCATTTACTCACAAACTGGAGCTGTTTGACAGTCTGGTATTATTTTTATCCAGATTTTTCCAGGAAGTTGGCAACAGTATATGCTGGAAAGCAGTTCTTCAGGATCTCTTTCACTGAAACTGGTGGTTCATCAACACTGTCTGTAATTTCTGTTTCGCTTGCACAGCAATAGAATTCAGTATGAATTGCAAATAAAAAGAATCTCAACATTATGCAGTTTTTCGGCACATGGAGTTGAATTAACTCTGTTTGGTTTTATAATGTTTTCCTGTGTTGTAGAAAAATATAAAGAATTTAGGCCCTTACAACTCAATGATCTTCAAGGTCCTTTCCAGCCTAAACCATTCTATGATTCTATGATTCTATGAAGCTAAAGGTTTTTTCCCCTATTCCAATGTAGTTAAACAATGAGCCGACATAGTATCTAAACATCAATACCAGAGTAGGTGCTTTCGAAGACTGAATTTAAAAGTTGTAAACTATTAATGTAAAGCCTATAAAGCACCTGAGATCAGACTCTGCCCCAGGTGAAGTCCATAGGTCTGGCAAAAGAGGCAATATGGGTGGCTTCAAAATACGTGCTTTGCCTACTTACGTTCCCCTCACAGACCAGCGTGGCTTACAGCATAGGAAAAAGCGAGCTCAAACGCCTCATTTCAAGAGTCCCAAGGGCTGTTTCTATAGACGAGAATAACCAGAGCATAGATAAGCTCTTTATGCTAGGAGCTATGACATGGCTAAAGACACCTATTATTCTTGTTCTGTGCAATCCAGAGAATTTCTCCTGGGTGATTATATTTTCAAGGGAATAATTCCAGTTATTAGCCCTCTATACATCACAGAATTGAAAGTATCTTACTTAATTTACAGTGCTGCAACAGGGTCTCTGCTGCACACAATTTAACTATGCAAAACCAACCTGTATATTTTAGAATATGTTTAGAGTACAATATTTTATAGTCAACTTACAATATTCCTAAATCCGTAGGATAACGATTATCTTACTGAAACCTCAGTGTTAAAAATACATGCTATTGGCAATGGGCCTAAATACGTTAAGCAACTAGTTGCAGATTTTAGTTCTAAGAAACTCATGGGTGATTACTTGGTTTTATTTTCTTAGTTGTGTGACTGGCTTAAGTATGCCTGCTTTGCTGTATCCCAGTATATTTTTTTAGAGTATTTTCAGAATGTCTTTGCAGTTCTTCAAGGTGCAAATTTAAACGTTCTTCAAACTCTCTTGTATGTTTCTCTTCCTCTTGAAGGAACTTCTCTGTTGTTGCAAGGAGGGACATCTCAGGGGGATACTGAACAATGAACAGAAAATCATAGTTAGTAGAAACCAGCAAGTACTACAACATATTTGCATTATCAAATTTTAGATTTGAAACGCATCTTAACCCATAGCAGCTTATAGTGCTATAATGCTGTATACCCCCCAAGAAAAACATGAGTCTGGGCATACATTTTTAAAGGCATTCAGGTACCTAAATGACATAATGGGAACATGATGTTTGAATACCTGTGATATTCACAGCATTAGGATGTAGATTTGCCATTAAAAATTTAAATATCCCATTAGACAGAATTAAGCTGCTTCACAACATCCAAAGTCTTTGGATCACCTAAAGGTTATGTTTGTCACTTGTATAATTTAGACCAGGACAGAGGACAATAATCTGGTTTTTGGAATTACAGAATATAAGTCATTGGGTACTGCTGATTGCCTCCTGTAATTTTAGCTCTATGCTTCTGTGATGTGATGCTTTCTGAGAAAAGGAAGAAAACCTATGCTCATTTCAGTACTATCAACTTCAAGCCCCGATATTCTGAAGAATGTACTAAATTTTATTCGCTGCAGTAGTTCACTGAAAAATCTTCTTTCCATTTAATAAGCATTTAGTAGACTGAGACATAAACCATAACAAAATCGGTCTTAAAATGGTTGTCATGGGATGCAGAGTTGTATAAAGCAAAGGACATGAGTGAGTCTTTGCTGAAACAAGTTCTAAATTTTTAAGCAGCAATTTTTGTTAATTGTTTTTGCTAATACTTAGCATGCATTCATTGGAATGTCTTTATCGAAAGAAATATGAAATAATTTTTCTTTGCCTAAAGATATTATGCTTGTTTAAATAAATTCAATGCTTATTTGTATAGATAAACACAATTTTATGACAAGAATTTTTAACATTCGATGGAGAAAAAACAGTATAGGAGCTCTAATACTGAGTAAAAGAAAGATAATTTTCTCTCTTTATATGATCACATATTGAGAAAGATGATTGAAATTTATTATCTTCATTAAAACATATGTTAAATAGTTTTAATAACTGATAATTAGTCTAGAATCTCTGGTTTTGTTTTTCCTAGAATTTAAGAAGCAGAGTTTATCTGTCAGCACATCAAATAGGAATGGCTTCAAATTATTTAAATATTCAAATGTTTTGTGGAAAAGGCCAATTCTATTACACCTGTAAAATTTTATTCTAGGCTCCATTGTGTCAGAATGGGGTATTCCCTATTTCCACGGCAACTAGAGGCAGACTCGGTCTTTGCTTTCAGCCTGGTTTAAAACTGCCCTTTAACAGTTTTTCAGGCCAAAATATAATAACTAGAAAAATGCTTTAAAGCACTATCCTATTCAAACTCTTTGCTGCAGGTCTTGAGATGAAATTTAGAGATTTCCTACAGGAAACCCCCTTTTCTTTTCAAAGTACAGCACGTAAGCGATAGCTGGAAATAAATTCTGAATGTAATACCATCCTTCCAGAGTGAGGCAGGCTTTCTAGGATAGGGCTCCTAAAATGAAATTCACAAATAAAGCAGAATCTTCCTTTTCAGTCCTTTTTTTTTTTCAGTCACTCCAAATTAGTGTTTTAACGGGGCAGGAAAGAAAAAGCGACGTGATTTGCCATGTAGGATTAAGGAACCCAAAGGTATTGGATCACTTTGTGCCACAACACTCTTCTATTAAAGCCTGCACTAGCAGGGATAAGAAAGACTGTTAATCTTCCAATGTTTGAGAAACTGTGGAGGGAGATCACCATCCTCATAAACACATGCAGGATTTCCCACCCATAAATCATCATTTTCCTATGAATCATAGAATCATGGAGTAGTTTGGGTTGGAAGGGACCTTAAGGATCATCTAGTTCCAATCCCCCTCCCATGGGCAGGGACACCTTCCACAAGACCAGGTTACTCAAAGCCCCATCCAAGCTGGTCTTGTTGAAGAGTTGTTCCTGAGATTTTGAATGTCATGGCTACACGCCCATTTATTCCTTCATGGGCTAGGTCACAGAAATATCTCCTTGTGACGTTTGGATTCAATGATAGAGTTGGCAGTGCCATTTTGAAGTATTTGAAGAAGTTTTTTGTATTATGAAAAAGACATTGGCTTTGGAGGCTTTACTTAAAGGATCACCATGTGTTTTGCTTACTGAATACCAGCTCTGAAATCACTGATTCAATACTGAGCAAATAAAATACTTCCGGTGAGAAGCATAATAAACTGGGAAAATTTAAATCTGAAATATGAATTTAATAGGTGTCATCACCTACAGAAAAGTCATGTCAGGCTTTTCCATAAGAACAGCAGATTGACATGAATCCTAGACTTCAGAAATGTTATATCAATTTATGAGAGATTCTCCAAGATTCATTATAACAATGTTTACAATTGATGACTTCCAATTAAAAACATATTGGCCTCATGATCAAGCTATTTTCCTAAAATGCTAGTGTCCTTCGCTTCAACTGGTACTTACTTTGATGTATTTTTTCTTGAAATACACTGTAAACTGCAAATGAGACATTTCTGAATTTCCTCAGAGTTGAGAGAAGAATGTTTATCACTTAGAATAAGCAGATCATGGTTCCCTACAGCTCCTTACCCGAGGGTCAGACATCACTATCATTTTAGATAGGTCCCTAATGCACTGTTTTTTATGCACTTTGAGAGAAGGTTGTACCTAAACAGGCCAAAAAGGCAACATTTCTTGTTAGCAATTAAGCTTTGCTTTCCAGCCTCTGGTCTGTTCTTTCACCATGTTCTTTATTGTCTTTACTTTCAGTGCCTGAGGAAGAAAAACCATAAAGAAACTGCTTTAATCCATGTATCGGATAAGATTCATGGTCCCTAGTTTTGAATTTCTTTTCCTCAGATAACACTTTTATGTCTTTCGGTTTTCTAACTGGAGCTGGATAGAAATAGGTTCATTAGTAACCCATTTTTTGGGTAGTTCGGCAACAAGAACTCTACTTTTTCATATCTACGGTGTCAGCTGATCCTGTATTTCTTTGGGGTAAACCAGTCATGAGAATCACCTTTTTGCCTCATCATTTGCTGGAAATGAAGGAGCGCGCCTGATAGAGATGCATATTACCACAAATGAAATATGTGCTAAATGTCTTCTCCTTAAGAGAGAATTACCCAAAGTGCTTGCGAATTCACTCTGGATTGCTGGGGAGAAGCACTTCAGGAAGCTAGGTCTATTCTCTCTTGCAGACTGCCTAATTAATTTGCTTAGAGTTAGCGCTTTCTTGCCCCAGGAGCTGTCCCAGCATTCTTGGATGCACCCTCAGCAGGGCAGCAAGAAAGCTTTAACACTGGGGATATTCTAACATTTAGTGGTCAAATCATGAGTGGTCAAATCCTAGAGTGTTAAAGTCTGCTCACGTTTAGTCCCTTCTACTTTCCAGGAAAGTTCTTGTAACACCAAGACTAGAAATTGGCCTGGCTAATTTTAGTCTCTCTGTGACTAAATTTAGGGACTTTAGGGGGTAGCTTCCTCTAACCTTACACTGCACTACTTCGGCAGCGGGTACAGATGCCTGTCTTCAACATGCTTCTGCTCATATATGAATCGAAATGGAGCCTAGGAAATGGCCAAGCATTATAGAAAGGTTTTTAGAGGGCCTAGGTACCTAACCAGCTAGGTACTCACCGCGGAGTGAGAGGCATGGACCACAGCATGCCTCAGGGTAGGCTCAAGACTGTCAAAATCATTCCTAATAATGTCCTGTGGTAGAATTTCCACAACTTTCCATTGCAATCTATTTATTAAGCAATTTCCCACCCTTAATGTTAGAAAGTTTCCTGATGCTTAATTTAAATTTTCCTTGCTACAGCTTAAGTTTTTCTTGTCTTTCCAAATCTTGAAAGTGAGAACAGACAACATCTGTCCATCATCTGAAGAGAAACAGGAGAAGGTATTTGTGCCTACAAGTTAAAGATCCAGATTGGGAAGCACAATGTACGTAACTGCTTGCTCCACCTGAAATGGAGAAATTGTGTAGAAATGTACTATTCTGAAGGGGCAAACAATCTCATTGCCTAGTCATTTATTTATTTATTTACCTATTTATTTATTTCTTTTCTGTGGGAAAAATTAAACTTGAAGGTGGACATTGGACTCTTCTATGGAATAGTCTTCCCAGAGACTGGGAATGGATCAGGCAACTATTTTCTGAAGAGAGCACACCCCAAAGCACTGTTCAGAGACAAAGCATTTCCTCAGATTTGGAAAGCCTTGAAACAAGAATTTTGGGGGTTATGGGACTTTCCAGTGAATCCCAGCTGAGCCTCCTAGTTTACTCAAAGGCAGAAGTGACTTTATCTACACATGTAACCTGTAAGTAGGAATGTGAAAGGGAACATTTACTAAGGTTTACTGAGGACTCTACTGGGAGGAGAGATGTAAGTCTTTGTGTAAAGCCCTAGAGACTATTTTCTCTCTTCCCTAAATACCAACAGGGTAATTTTGGTACACATCAGGACATCACCTGCAATTACACTGTTTTCAATTGGTGCTACAAATACCCTTCAGATAAAGGGTCCCTTATAACATCTTCAGAAATTTTGAACATACTGGAGATTTCACTTAGGTGAAACATCAGTCCTGAAAACTCTGTCAAAGAACATACAACATATTGTATGTTTTTCCCTCTTTCTCCTTGATGCAATGGCTTTCCACTTGAACACAGAGCTCTACAGTAACAGACTGTTGAATCTCTGCACTAAAGCTGTGGTATCCAATGGCAGTTGGAGTGATAGTTTAATTTTGGCCATCTTCTGAACTTGTACCCGTTTCAATGCCACTGATTTGGACTTAGACACTGCACAAGAAATATCCCTTGCTTAGTAGTTTCATAATGTACTTTGCCCACACACCAGCTGGAAACTGTTTTCCTTATAATCTAGTCAACTATTTTGGCATCGACCCTGTCCTGAGTGCCAGCTGGGATAAGCTGGCATAAGCGACCCTGCAGCTTGCATAAGTGTCTCAGAATGGACATTTTTCTTGGGCTGGCCACAAACAGAAGCTTTGTGGTCTGGTATCTCTGTCTGACACTTCTGACAGAAGACAGGAGGAAAACTGGTGTTTATCAGACTCTCCTGAAAAAGTCCAAACAATTCATTTCATGATTAGCAGTTTAAAGAGGAAAACTCTCAAGCCATGAGAAACCAAAAGCCATTTACTTAAAATTCCTGTGAAGCCTAAGAATATAAAAATGGTAGTGAGGTCAAACATCCAGGACTATGTGGTTCTCACTGTTCTCTGACTACTGGGGCACAGCTGCTGAGACCACGGTCAGTGAAGGGCTGTACTGCAATCCCAGCTTCTCAGGCAGGCCATCACTATGGTGCTCCCTTATCAACAGTCAAATTCTGGACTATGGAGAGAGAGTCTTCCAGCTGCCACATCTCTGGTAGGAAAGGATCAGGATGTGTGCCCATTTCTGAAGTGGACAGCAGAACTGGGGACCACCGCAAACTGCTTGAAGATGACTGTTGGTGTCATGATGCCTCTTCACTTCTACTTAAGGTGACAAGTGGCAAAAAAGTTGCCTATTAGTTCCCCCCAGTAAATGCTGAAGTCTTCCCTCTTCTCTCTCTATCAGCCACACACCTGCAGTTCAGGGTCTCCTGGGTGCAAAGATGCATGTATCACAGCTGGATAGAGAGATGGCTACAGTCCATTCCTCTCTAATCTGTTAGTTCCGTTATTTAATGATGGTGTGGTTGCATAGTTTGAGATCTGGAAAATAAGTGCTAAGTTTTCAACCGTGGCCTGTAGTGGAGGCCTATGGAAGAATAGAAGATACTAAGAAAGATGATAAAGCTCAAATTTAAAAGAGAGATCTAAAGATAAAGAAGTATGGAAAGTTTTTCCTAAGAAGTTGCCCTAAGCAAAGTGGGATTTAGCCCCCTTGTCATGGAGGTTGGTAATCTCCAGCCTATGAAGACTGAAAGAAAGAATGCTGCACTATTACTCTTTCATTTCAAGAAAAAAGAGGATTACAGCAGTTATCGTTTCTGTTCCTTTTCAAATACAATAGCTAACACATAGAAAATAGTTGCTGCAATTCCTCTAATTTCATCCATCAAACAAATGATGCAGAAACTTGATTTGTCTAACAGCACTTAAGGCAGTAAGTTTGCAGGCATTATAGAAACACACTTAAAGCAGAGTGCGCTTACAGAAGGTAATATGAAGCTGAGTGCCCCAGTATAGAAGGCAATGAGCTAAAATGTAGAAATCTCTCTCACAATCGCATAATGGCAGGTAATTATCACCATCGTTATTAGAACAGAGGTATGGCCCAGTAGGGGATGCTTAATCTCCAGAAAAACTGCATTTATGTTAGGATAAGGCATTTCCATTTTTGCTGGACTGGCGCTGTATAAATAATAATGACAACAGGGGTGATTAATTTTTGGCTCCTCCAAGGCTGCATTTGGTCCACAGATGGATCTTTGAAAATATATGTTAGAGGAAAATAGTTACTTACTGATAATTTGCTTTCTTCTGCATTGTAAGCAGCGCTCAGAAAGCTGCCTGTTCTGCCCTTTTCAGGGAACCGCCCACCAAAGCCCAAAGGATACCCCATTGGTGCTGATGGAGATTTATCATCTATTCTCTTTTCATGACTTACGTGAAGCTTATGAGAAGATAAAGTGCTATCACTTTTTGAACCAGTGATATTTCCTTGGCCATATAAAACAGGACTACAGTTTCTGTGGTAGCCACTGGCTGTGAACACAGAAGTCTGTTGACGTTCAATTTCCCATGCATCTTTCTTTTGGAAAGTTCTAAAAGAGAAAAAAGAAAATCAAAGAATGAAAACCAGTTAAAAGCTATTACAGCAAAGCCATTTTTTTAAAATTTTATTTGTTTGTGCAATTTTGATTACTTTGCAAGTTTTTTAAAATACACTTTTACATACACTTTTATTATTTCTATATTTTTAAAATACACTTTTTAAAATTTTTTACAAAAACATGCTTTTGTAACAAGTGAAATCTTTAAGCTTACAAAAGAATTTTTAAGCATTTTATTATGATGTTCCATAGCTCTTACAAGGATCAGAACGGATGTGAAAGCATATATTTGTATTTATTCATAGTTCTGTAAAGCAAAACCTATAACAGTTAACAGCAACTTAAAAAAAAAGCAAGCTATTTTTTTCCTATTCAAAATATCTTCTTTTCCTGGCAGTTCACAGAATCACAGAATGGTCAGGGTTGGAAGGGTCCGCTGGAGATCATCTAGTCCAACCCCCCTGCCAGAGCAGGGTCACCTACAGCAGGTTGCACAGGACAGCGTCCAGGTGGGTTTGGAATGTCTCCAGAGTGGGAGACTCCACCACCTCTCTGGGCAGCCTGTGCCAGTGCTCTGCCACCCTCAAAGTAAAGAAGTTCCTCCTCATGTTAAGATGGAACTTCCTATGTTCAAGTTTGTGCCCGTTACCCCTCATCCTATCACTGGGCACCACTGAAAAAAGACTGTTCCCATCCCCCTGGCACCCTCCCATTAAGTATTGATAAGCATTAATAAGATCCCCCCTCAGTCTTCTTTTCTCTAGAGAACTGAACAATTCTTAGACTATATTGATAAGAGCAGAGAATTTTGAGACTAGCTTGCCCAGATATCTGCTGAATTAGCCTAATCTTCAATTCCATCTTTACTTCTATTATATACCAAACCATGCAAAAAATTTTAAATTTTTCAGATTTTATTACACTTCTGTTACAATATTTCTGAGTGTGGTAAAAATTTCCATTGTACTGAGGTATATGCTTACAATAAAATTGAAATTTTAGTCTTGGGAGGTAAGTACTCTACTTAAACATGATAGTTGTTTGAAAAGATCCTATCATTGCAAAACTCCTAAAACACTTTACTAATTTGAAATGCAGCTATAAAGGCTTTTAAAGATCAAATTCTCTGCCACTAAAATATAATTATCATAAATATCCAAGAGTATGCAGTGCTGCTAAGATCCAAGGAAAAGAGCTTATTTTTTTAAAAAAATAAAAAAGAAGAATTTGCCAAGCACAGGGAATGGACAGTGTTTCCTGCAGAAAGATCACAACATCATTTTCTAATCTTAATTTAAATAGTTGGTGTTGGGAGAGTGTGGTTGTGCAGTCTTAATGGATCCTGCTTGTACATCAGCCCTGAAACCGAGTACTCCATAGATGGACTGTGCAGAACAACTCAGAGAACTAAAGAAGAACATATTTTTCTCTGATTATAAAAGAAGTAGTGATTAAGATACTCTGAATGCTATAGGAAAGCAAATTATAAGCATGATGCTACAATATTATTATTCCTATAACAGTATTATTACAGATTCTAACATAAAACTCTGAGAATATTCACCAAACTTTCCAGTTTTCTAAATCACCTAAAATGTTAACTTTTATGGGAGCAGAGTTTTCTCCTTTCTTTCATGCTTTTCTTTAAATAAACACACGCTGCTCTTTGGGCACAGGAGAATACCTTTTTTTCTTTCTTTCCCCCTTACTTTAAAGTCCGTTCCATCTATTGTTTGGATGAAGGGCACAATGAAAAAAACTGCCACAGCTGAAGACAGATGGCATGAATAATAAAATCACAGATTTTTTTTTCATCTTGTGTTCTGACCTTTTTGGAAGTAATTTCCTCTGTAAACCCACAGTAAAGTCTATGTGATCTGTGTTCTTTTCCCCCCACCAGAACTGCTTCTCTATGCATTTAATAACAGTTATTACTGTTATGTTATAGCTTACTTCACTAAGACCAGAATTTTCAGACTTGGGTGCCTACAGTTATGGTAGCTTTTAGACAGCAAAACCAGATACACCCCCCTCCCCCCAAAAGGACTGATTTTTTTAAAGGAACTCCACTTCCTGCTGTAATCCATAGGACTGCTGGGGGTGTTTGCTATCTTGGAAAAAAACCATGACACCTACATTTAGGTGCTTTGATATGGATACTATGCCTTCACTTCAGACAGATTTCACAGTCGGGGTTTAAATTTCTGCCAGTTCTGTGCAAAATAATAGCTAAGAACATAGTTCTATTTTGAATACAAATGTAAAGGTAGGCAAATATCTGCAAACTGGTAAAAAACTGTCCAATTGTTAACACTGGCAATGCAAATACACTATACCTGCAGTCGAATACCTTATGCTTTCAGTGGGTTTACTGTCATAGTGTATTTAACATATACACATACTTCACAAAAATAATATCACTGTTGACATGGCGACATCTGGGACAAGAAGTGAAAGTCCTCGCAAAGGGAACTTATACAGACAGGATCAATTTTTCCAGACTCATGTATAAAATCAGCCTGGTCCCTATGCGATCAATGACTTCAGTGGTGCAAAACAAATTCCTTACACAGCTTGTGCTGGGCGACATACCCAGTCTTGAGAAAGAAAACAACAGGTCTTTAACAAACAGAATGTCTTCAGAATTCATGTTGTTGCTTTTACCTTGCAAGTGTACCTGCTAGCTTGATTTTAAAAATGGTTAAAAAGTATTTTCCTGAAGAGATTTTTTTTTCACTGCTTCCAGTTTATCTATCGCAGTCAGTGATACAGTGGTGAGTATGACTAAGAGTGTGTGACCTCCAAAGGGTAGTGAAAACCTCTCTGAGGTTTTGCCACTGTCAACACAGATCCTTTAAGGGATCCCCAGCTACCTTAGTAGGCATTCAGTCCCAGCCTTTACCCCCTCACTTTTGCCACATGATGAAAGTGCACTTTGGCTTGACCAATTTTGTGTATATTTTTATGGTAAGTAAGTAGCCTTTCATTTGGAAACTCACATGCATGTTTTAATTTTGGAAGAAACAGGCTATACACATCAGCTTCATCAGAGAAAGCCCTCTTCAACCATGCCAAAATTTAAATCAACCGGTTTTGGCTAAGGTCTAAATAAATTGAAATCTATTGAAATCTTGAGGGTGGGGAAAGCTTATGTAAATGGCAATTAGAAGTAAATTATCATATATGAGAACAGTAATTAATTAAAGTGGTTATAGGTAGGATGTGCCCACAGTCATTTTTAGCAAAAAGATGCCGCTCCTGCATATCTTACTTTGTTATATTTAGAAATTCACCATATACTGCAAAAAAGAAGAAATCATGCCTCCTTCTAAATCGCCAATATAACTTCCTGCAGTTTCCTGTATTTTCTCTAGAGGTCTCCCATCTAACTAATGACTGTGCCCATGCTTAGGATTCTAGTACATATTGTGAGACATGCCTGAAAAATATTATAGAATATACTTGGTTGAAGACATTTTTTTTCATTGTGCAAAACTTTCCAGGTTTCTGAATGCAAACAGGAAAACCAAAAAGTACAGCTTCTGAAAATTACTATTTAAAACACAAACATACACCCCTTGCAGAAACACTATGTTTTCTATTTTTTTACTATGTAAAAAAAGTCTTTTTGCCCTTTCTCCAGTGCCATAATTACCATGGAAACAGAACTGCAAATTAAAACAGAAATAACATGCTTTATTTGCACAATAAAATAAAACAAAACATGCCCCAGAGTTTAACTCAACCAACATCAATTGCCTGGTTTATCTGTATACATTTGATCATTGAAAATTTAATTTTACTTTTCTGAGAAAATCTTGAGGTAGTTCCCTGTTTGGGAACAGAGAACTGACAGTATAGAGAGGGCAAAATTTTAAGAAGACTGGCTGGCTGATGTGTATTTACGGTACACATGGAACTTGCACATTTTTTGAAATCTATATATGTATTTATTTAGCTAAATAGCTTTTCACTTAGGAAATCAAATGCATGTTTTAGATTCCCAAAACCAGTCTCAATATATCTGTTTCATCAGATTAATTGCAATCATAATTTAAATTGTGTTCAGTAGCACGGTTGAGATTTGTGTTGTGAGGAAGCTTAGCTCTTCCAGGTTTCTCTCTCCCAGTTTTGGTTTAACATTGGTCTTCAATCGTTATGAAATCAAAATCCTGCAATTACCTGCACAGTTCTATTGTCTCTTACACTTAAATTCTCATGAATAAAATTTTACAATTCTTCATGCACAGCAAGTGTAATTCCTGAGCAAATGGGAAGAAAACCTTATTTGTTCTCACTTAAGAGTGGAAGCATGAGCAAAAATTGCATTGACCAATTTTTGGTGAAATTATGAGAACTACAGGTGCAGAATGGTCTGTATCCTGGTTTGTAAACATTTGTTTCAGCAAAACCTTCAACATAATTTGAAACGTCATATCTATCTCCGTGTGTGTGTATCATGTATATGCATATATATAAATGCATACATACAACATATAATTTATATATTTACATACACGAGTACTACGTCCAACAAGGAAATTTTAGGTGAGAATGTAGCTACATATAGAAAGGACACCTTTCTATTTTGCAGCACAAAAATCACTTTAAATTTTGCCAAAGACTGAATGTATGACTTTGAAATCTTAACCTGTACAATTCTGTCTCCAATTATTGAAACCTTACTTCACAGAACTGTTTTATATTAGTGCTATCATGTAAGTTATTTATTAATTACAAATAATCAAAAATATTTAGCTCTCTATTAACTTTTACTCTCCTATACTGTGAAATATTGTTTAGCAACGAGTTTAATTTTCTTTTTATTACTGCAATGTCATGATTATAACATGTTTCAAGGTAATTCGGAGCTTCCCTGAATACAGGGAATTAAGAAAGAAGTCATCACTACAGTATGTTCTCTATGAGTCTGAATATTCTTAAGTCTCATTATTTTTCCCTAACAAGGAGTTTACTCTAGCAATGATTTAAACTGGAATTATGTTTCTTTTAAAATTCAGGTCAACCAAGAACACCAAAACTAGACAAGGCATTAAAATACATTTAATGAAACTTCCAACAAATGAAACTGGCAGGACACAAAGCTTTTCAGCCGGAGCTGTAGTTCAAACTGCTTATTAAGATAACCTCCTGTGGAGCAGTTTACCTCTCATGTTGGTTTTTATATCCTTTCCTTGTCTTGTTTTTATTTGGCAGTAAAAATACATTCTGTCCTGTTTTGCAAAACCTGGAACTAAGAATAACTTAAGCAGCACACACAAAGTTTTTTAAGTTGTTTCATGTGACAAATATTAAAATAATGATCAAACATTTCTGGGCCTTCTTTTATTGCCAAATTCAGTTAGCCACCCAGAAAAATGTAGGAAATTCTTACAAATAGATGAACTAGGTCTGATATTTATGGTCATGGGAGTTCCGAATGAACAGAAACAGAAAAAAAAAAGCTTAACAGTTTGGCCTAGCTAGATGCTTCCAAAAAAATAACAGGAAGTTTCATATATGTGTACAATATTACCTCTCTTCCTTTTCTTGCATCTTTGAATGGGTTTGGTAGGTGTGTTCTGTTTCTCCATATGTATCCATGTGATCCAGCATTGGTGTTTCTGTGTCATTTTGTAGTTTAACAAGACTACTTTGTAATCTTACTTTCTCATGTTCCAATTTGTTAATGGAAGCTGCGAAATTTCCATGTTCTTTGTCAGATAAATCTATACTCTGTGAAAGGAGACAAATGCATCATTAAATAGTTATTTTTTTTCCACAATAAATGCATGTTAGTATTTTTAACAAGCAAACACAAAACAATGATCTATGCTAAAGAAAGACTTAGCTACCATATATAATGATGCAACACTTAGAGCAACCCAAGAAAATTGCCTCCAGAAAAAGACACTAGATAAATGGGAAAGAAGGGATAACAGCCTCTGTAACACAATAAAACAAATTAAAATTTCTCAACAAACATGCATTCAAAATATTTTTGTTGGAAATTCATTGCTTGCTTTGTAAAACCTATGACATAAAAGCAATCATAACAGCTATAGCTGCAGACTGTATTGCTCCCTCCAGTAACAATTACACCAAAAATAACAAGAAAAATTATAGAAGTTCATTACTATACCACATACAGGCTATGTCTACAGGCACAATTTAATATCTGTGTCGAGATACAGTCACCTTCAGTTTCAGAAGCAGTAAAGCCACATTAGCACAGTGCTCTCCATCTGTGTTACTAAACCCTGCTTCTCAGCTGGGTTAGCGCACATGGTATAAAACTCAAAATACTGAAAGTGCAAGCAACGTGTGCACCGCAACCCGGGGGGTAAAGTGGCCCATCGACTAGAGTATCAAGAGCAGAAGATGGAAAGTAGTTCTGGAAGTTGGCTGGCCAGCATACTCCATTCCTTTTTTGTCCTCTCTCTTATTCTATGAAGCCTACGCTGCACGCTGAGCTAGCTAATTTGGAACCACCTCTCTGCAGTATACTGCATTGCACTGTGTAAATATATTTGCAATAACAGTATACTGCCATCAACAGAAAATTCTCAAAACTTTTATCAGATTACAAAAGACTAAAAACCCATAAGTTTTATTAAGTTGTGCTTCCATATATTTCTAGGTTTACCCTATTCTCTGGGAACCCAGTAACTCATGAGTATTAAGCATTGGGTTCTTTGTATACTGCTAGCACAACTGGGCTCCCGCACATGAAAGCTTGTCTATTCCTTGCACTAACTGGTCTGATGTCTTCACTTCCTGTAAATCTTGCCTTGCTTAGCTAGTTTTAGAGGAAATTTATGATCGAAGCTGCCATGGAAGTGCCAGAAAGTATAAGAAAATTTAGTATTTTGTGCAAGAATAGGGGCCAGGGGCTCAGCTGTGTTTCCCAAGTAGAGCGAAGTGGCAGAAGAGAGGAAGGAGAATGCTATGTCACCCTACCACCAATAGTTGTAGAATCAGCAGTACAGTTATAATGGCATGAACCCAAAAACTGCACAGGCACAGCTACATTGCTTTTGAAATCTAAACAAGTAACCGTGCCTGATGACGCATTACACCATACTGACTTAGGCTGGCAATAGTTTGAGGGGTCTGTGTAGTGATCTACTCTACTGTACAAACACATCCATAAAAATCTCTCCAGTCCTTGCAATCTTAATATCAAATACCCCACAGTCTTTAATGTTTAGATCCTCACAATACACTAGTAAAGTAGGAAATAATTATTAAGTCCACAAATGCACTGATATGTGGAGTGACCTTGGCCTATCTAGTAACTGGATTTGACTGACAAAATTTAAAAAACGTGCTATCTACAAGGATTCTTGTCAGACAGCTCTGCTCAAACTTCATGAAGAATATCACTGTAGAGAAGAGCTAAATATGCATACACACATCCATCTATGTTTCCACAAGAATATATCATATATACACATACATATATCCATAATATTGTATATGTATATATAGGTAATATATTACTGATAGACATATAGGGCCATGAAGATGACCAGAGGGCTGGAGCACCTCTCCTGTGAAGACATGCTGAAAGAGTTGGGGTTGTTCAGCCTGGAGAAGAGAAGGCTCCAGGGAGACCTTATAGCAGCTTTCCAGTATCTGAAGGGGGGGCCTACAGGAGAGCTGGGGAGGGACTTTTTACAAGGGCATGTAGTGATAAGACGAGGGGGAATGGCTTCAAACTGGAAGAGGATAGATTTAGATTAGAAATTAGGAATAAATTTTTCACCCTGAGCATGGTGAGGCACTGGCACAGGTTGCCCAGAGAAGCTGTGGATGCCCCATCCCTGGAGGTGTTCGAGACAGGGTTGGATGGGGCTTTGAGCAACCTGATCTAGTGGGAGGTGTCCCTGCCCATGGCAGGGGGGTTGGAACTAGATGATTTTTAAGGTCCCTTCTAACCTAAACCAATCTATGATTCTATGCTTTTTATTAATTAAACTTTAAATATCTCCTGTTTGGAAAGAATTAAATACTGTCCTCTGAAAAGAACCTGGGTGGGGGCAAAATGTGTCAGTTTTTTACACTGTTATTTAAATATCATGTGAACAGCGGGGTAAAATAGTAAAAAAGGGACATATTTTTGTACCTGTGAGAATGAGGACTGTTTAAAAATAAATATTTTCTGAAATAAGAAACATCACTTACAAAAAATAAGGTCCCAGAAACTTTTTAGTGTCTAGATAGTTACTGAAAAACTTAGCTTGCTTGTAGTTTACTACAATTAAGGTCAAAATTATTCCTAGCTATTCCCATCTTCAGGCTGTGTGTGAATATCACTTAGTTTTGATTATGTCACACACCTTCTTTTTATTTATTTATTTTATGCAAGCCAGAAATCTCTAAATCTGCAATGATCTCAGTCTACACTTACAATAAATATAAGTAACTGTTCTGCATATTGCATAGATTAAAAAAAAATTACCATGCAACTTTTACACTCCTGGTATTCCACCATCTCTTTTAGATGTGTGTTTTCAGATTGGATAACTTTGTATCGGAAATCCAACAACTAGGAAAAGATTAATTTCTTAGTTAAATGCAGGAATATTACTGTTAAATTGAAATAACATTGAGTATAGATATATGTAAGTTTAATTTTACAAAATATATAAAAAGAATTATGAAAATAACTACAATAAATGTTTTTTAAATACAGCAATACTAAAGCAGAAAGTCTAAATACTAAAGCAGAAGATACACAAATGCAATGCCTCTGATTTTATTTACCTTTTTGAAAGAAGTAATCACTTAGGAAAATAAGGGAGCTCACATGCAGTTAGGAGATACAGAGGGACAGATTTTGCAGGCCACTGAAAGTGTTTTCCTAGTCATGAAGCCTACAAATGACATCCATTCTTTCAGTGATATGATAGAGAATATGGCCTGGTAAAGAGTGCCACAAAGTAGGAGACATCTCTCATTTTCCCAAACACTAACTTTGCTATTGCCAAAAGTCAAGTATTACATTATTCGCAATTTTCAATATGCAGCAACCCTCTCAGAAAACCCAGAGATACCCAGAAACCTCTAAATATGAAGATTATTTTAGTTTACAAAACTAAGTAATGAAGATAACATATTTGTTTTTAAAACTGAAATCAGCCATTAAAACACTGGTATCTTACAGTTTTCAGCTTTAAAATTACCAAACTTTTCTAAGCAGATTTGTAACACTCTTCAAAAAGCTTTAAAAAAACCTTAAAAATTAGGAAACATTCTAGATAATGTAAAAAAGCGTCTCCAATGATAAAGCGCATACAATAACTACAAACTGGAAGTTTTCAAGATCTTTTGCATGTTAAAATGGTAACTACGTCTGATGGTCAGAATGAATTGCAGTTTTGATATATAGTTGATGTATACTGATGTTTTCTTGTTCCAGTATCAATTTGGCTGCTTTAGTAGTATTTCACAGCTATTACAGCACTGCTGATGAAAACTACAGCAAGAAATGTAGTCTTTTTTTCACAGATAATGTATGTCATCATCAATACTGTGGAGTGAAATGATCTAGGCTGGTTTTGCCTGCTTGCATACCTGTTGTTTTGCTAACAATTTGTCTTTTATCTCTAACTCCATTTTTAACTGTCTTTCCAGAAGACTAGCTTTCTCCATGATAGTTGCTATAGTGATCTCCTTCTGATGAAGCTCTTTGGTCAGGTCAGAGATTTCTGTCTTCATTCTTTCCTGCTCAGAGCGATGGGACTGCTCCTCTCGATATAGATGGTTTCTTATCTGTAGCAAATATGTTTCAAAAAGAAAAAATGTTGTGGAGTAAATATGATTGCATCACTTACTACCTACTAGTGACTTTTTTTGCTGTTGCTTCCAAGATACGAACTCTTCTAACCAAATCAGAGATTTTTGAGATTTTATAATAAAATGCCTTCATGAGTCAGTGCACACAACTTTATTTGTACATCTTGTTTCAGTCTTTCTCCTGTGTTTCCATTTGCCTATTTAATATTAGAAATGAAGGAAATATATTCTTTTTAAATGTTAATTTAAATGCTTTGTAATAAAAATGATCTTAATTTTAAGAATTGGAATTCACGGCAAAGAATATCCAAGGAAATATCCATTCAATAAACCTAAGTATGATTTATTTATACTGCTCCTAAGTTAATTTAGGTTTAAAATGAGTTTAATGCAGCCTAAATTAACTTTGGACCAATATAAATAAATCAATCTAGAGACTCTTTAATGAGAAACTATGTTAGAAATAAAGAGTATATATGGTAAATCACTTTATGAGACTCTTTTGTACCACTATATTTAAAATTTAAAGTCAAACTTTCTGCACTATCTCCTGTGCAGAGTTCTCCAAAGAATCAACACAAAGATTGTTTTCATAATCTTTCTACTATAACCAACAATTTAGTACCGATAGATTTTTGTGTTATGTAAGAAACAAAACTACAAAAGCCAGCATAACAACCTTTGAACCCATTTTAGTAATCCTCACAGTACTGTACACAATCAGTAGCAGATGGCATTTCATTTTTATTTATGCAAACTACACAGAAATTCTAGAATTGTAAACAAATAGATGTAGATGCAAAAAACCTATGCACTAGATCATAACTATCATGCCAAAACTGCTGCATCCAAGTCAGCTGCATCCAA